AGATCTGCACTTGTTATTAGAGAACAGGACAGATTAAACAGAACATCAAACGCACGCCGATAATAAATTTTCAAAAAATTGAGGCACATATTAAAGAATCCAAATAGTAGGGAAAGGGGGAGAGAGAGAAGCACAGGTAAATATATTTTGAAAGAGAGAGGGAAAGATAAGAGCGAGGAGAGAGAGAACTTACTCGGGGTAAACAGCTCTTTTAGGTTTTTTTTCCTTCAGGGAGGAGAGAGGAGAGAGAATTGAGAAAGGAGAGGAACCAGAGAGAGAGAGAGAAAGAGGCCCTCAAGATTGAGTTTTAAATCAAATAGATAGATTTCGGCATTTAATAAAAGGATGGCAAAATCTACCATATCAATATAAAATATACTAGTAGCATGCACAAATAAAATTATAAAATATAATATTAAAATAATAAAATAGATAATTATTAATAAAAAGTATAAATAAAATTATTTAACTATACTGATTGCATTAAGTTTAATACATAACTTATTTTTATTAATTTGACTAACAATTAATTACCTAAAAAAATATTGAAACAATAATATTTATTATTATAGAATTTTTCAGGGTTTTTTTTCTCATGCGACTAACTTAGTTATATGATTAAACAACTAGTATTACCTTATAATAAACTAGTACTAGTACAATACCCGTGTATTACACGGGTGTTAAATTAGAAAGTTTCTGTAAAAAATATTATTTTTTTTAAATTAAAATAATTTAATTTTATATAAAACATTACTTTAGGTTTTAATTAAATTGTCAAATTATATTTTTTTTAACCATAGTAATTAAACTCTCGTACATTAAATGAAAATGTCAACCCGTGTTGAATGTTTGTACTTATGTAATAGTAAATAATATCAAATAAATAGAAATAATATAGTGATATATATGCATAAGTGTAGAATATATTTATTTAATATTAAGCAAGATAGATTAAATTTTTTACTTAATTATATGTCTAATACATCAAGTGTCGTATTGGAATTAGAGGGGATCAGATTAAGCAAAAACATATAAGAATCCTATTTATTTGCAAAAATGTATTATAATTTTGGAGGGGATCAGATTAAGCAAAAATATTGGGAAAGCAATCCGATTTGTTTTGGTGACACCGATTTCGGCAAAGATTAAGCAAAAACATACAAGAATCCTATTTATTTTGGAGTTGGAGGGGATCGGATTAAGCAAGATTAAGCAAAAAATATAAGAATCCTATTTATTTTGGAATGTATGTCAACCCGTGTTGAATTTTTTTACTTATATCATATAAAAATATCGATATTATTTACTACTACGTAAGTACAAAAATATATATCTTAAATAAATAGAAATTATATGATGATATGTATATGCATAAGTGTAGAATATGTTTATTTAATATTAAGTAAAATAGATTAATTTTTTTACGTAATTAGATGTCTAATACATCAAGTGTTGTATCAGTCGTGCTTCACAGTTTTGTACCTTTATATGTAACTTTAGAATTTATATAAATAATTATTTGTTTTAACTACGGTGACAAACATACCAATTAGATTTGAAATAAATATTTTAAAAGAATACATACCAATTTCTATTACTTTATAATATAATTTATAGTTTTATTTGATATAATTTAATTTAGTTTGCTAAAATAAATTCAAATTCTATTTATAAGGATAGATATTACTATTTTGTATTATATATATATATATATATATATAGTAAAATACAAATGGACTTCATAATATCAATTCAAATGCAACACACTAATTAAGATTTTTTTTTCTTGACAATATTAACTCTATTTAATGGACATTATGGGAAACGATGGAGATGGGATATGAAGAGACACTGTGTATTAGATGGAGGGTTAAAAATGAAAAAATATGAACAAAATATCTAAAACAACATTTATTTTATCAATGATCAATTAAGTCAAAGTGACAAATAATAAAAATAGGAGGTAGTATATATTATTATATATTTTAGTATGACACATGTTACTTGTTTGACTTATATGTGTTATATTATAATAAATTTTTTACCTTATAACATATAACTACATGTAACATAAATATATTAATTGATAAATAATTTTATTTTCTAATTAATTTTAATAAATAATTTTATTATTATTATTATTATAATGATAAATATAATTTATTTATTTTATATATACAATATCGATGTCAAATCGAAGCTCATCAAAAGATGATTAATTTGAGATATTATGTATGTAAAACCGATAAGAAATACAAAAGTTATCAACTTTTAAAATATATTTGCAATTCAATGGTTATAATAGGAAATTATATTAAAATACAATTAATACAAATATTAATTTATATTCAAACCTAACTCCATAGTATGATTTTTTGCCAAATAGGAATCCGAAACATGAGAGTTTGCCATTTAGGCTCAGTGCATTCTGAAATTATATATAGAGAGGATGAGTCTCGTGCAGTGCACGTGTAAGAGATATTCATTAATATTTTTAAATTAAAAATTTTTATTAAATAATATTTATAAATTAAAAATATGGAATCAATATATAATACAATTTACCTATATTAATTTATTGAAAATTTTATATAAAGTTTAAATTGTGCAAAATTACATAAAAATGTCTATTTAAAATTAGTATACAACTCGTGTGGTGCACATAACAGATAATAAATTACATTATACTCGTTTTAAAATAAGTGTGATTTCAAAATTTTTATTCAGAAAATTGATTTGATTATATGTGATTCCATAAAATAGTTATTTTGGTAAAATGTTATCATATATTTAACAACCTATGAAAATAATAAGTATAGATATAAAATTTATCTTGTTTCATTACTCGAAATAATTTATTATTGTATAAACTATTCAAATAAAAAAAATTAAGTAGTTGAGTAATTATTAAAATATAAATAATTGACTATTTCGTTTACATCCAAATTAATATTGACCCGTAAGTTATTGAGTAATATATTGACTATTTCGTTTACGTCAAGTTAATATTGACCCGTAAGTTATGAATAATTCTTTTTATTTTTAAATTTAAATAAAAGAAAAAATTTAATATATTATATATTATATAATATATAATATATACTAAATCTAAACCATGCAACTAATAAAGGTAATAGCTGCAAGTTTTGTCAATATATTATATTCCAAATTTAAATAATCCAAGTAATAAAAGTAATAGCCGCATTATTGGACCAAAATAATTATGTACATTAATTTAGGTGGGATTTATCAAATTTTGACAAAAAATATTATTTAATATAATAAATACTTTAGGCGGGAAACCAAATGTTTTTTTGTTGATTTTTAGATGCTATTTCAAGTAAATATCATTGTCTCTTTATGTATTAATAGATAGCTTGATTGAAAATTCATATAACTTTTTGATGATTATGTAATTTACATATACTAGGTATAAATTATAATTAGTTGATTTTAGTAATAACTTTTGAATGATAGAATAATTAATGAAACGTAATTGCGCGTAATATTTTAACATAATTAATTAAAACAATAGGCAGGAAATTTGGTAATTTGCATTAGTTTGATAGCCTGAAATTATATATTTCTCTTAGTCCTTATTCTGCTATTAGTATTTAGTAATAACTTGCCTCATTTGGGTCATAATATGTTGGCACCTAGCTTTGATAATTAGCCTTGTTACTTCATTTTAGTTAGAAGTTAGAAGTCGTATTTTACTTCTATTAGTCTTTTTAATTCAGCTATAAACACTGCAACTGTAACTCATTTCGACCATATTGAATAAAACAGAGTTGGTTACATTTTTCTTAGCTCCTACACAATCTCCATTTCCTTATGGTACCCGAGCTAGGTCAAATCACATGGGAACATGGCGAATGCCTGGAACAAGACGGCATGGCCACTGCTCAATGCCGGAGATGGGAAATCGAGCTCAAGTTTACAGATCGATGATTCGGATTTCGCATCCATTGACGGGGCGCGTTAGGAGCTAAATCGAAGCTTGGCTTCATCAATGGTAAGATCACTGAACTGGCTGAGTATGATGAAAGTTATGAAGCCTG